GTCATCTTGTACTCAGTAATGTACTCCTTCACACTCCTCGGCCCCCCTTCCAAGAAAGCCTCCACCTGAGCATCCAAAATAGAGCTCTTCGGCGGGTCGTGCAGGTTAAACCTCCCGGTGTGGCCGAGGGAGGGAAACTCGGTACCACTCTCACCAATGGACACAAACACGAACTTGCTCTTCCACCCATGGATGGACGTAGGCAAATCCGTGAAGCTCCTCTTCTTCGGCAGCTGCTGCAGAGTAGCGTAGGCCGCACAGTTCTTGTGGCTTCCTCGGCCGATCTGGTACAGATTCATGAATAGTGCCGTTGTCGGCTTGTAGCCCAACTCCTCACACCGGAGCAAGAACCCCACCATCAAGGAGTAGCTGTTCGGCGTCAGCAAGGCCGGAGGAAGCCCTACCATGTCCAGGTACTCGGTAATGAAAGGGTGAAGGGGGAACCTCAACCCCTTAGCAAAACTCATCGGGTATACTCCAAAGTATCCCGGTGGTGGCAGAAGAACATGGTCCGTCGACCTGGGTGCCCTAACCCGCCCGAACGGCCCCACGTACATCTGGGCAACAAGATAGTCGGCCGCACTGCTCTCCGGCTTGATCAGGTAGATGTTGGTGAGATCCAGATAGGAGATGCCGGGCCCACTCTTCGGCCTCCTCACTCTCTTCGGCTTAGCTGCTCCCTTCACGGCAGACACCGGCCTCGGGCACAGAACGACAGCAGAAGTGGACGCCCCGTCCACCACTCGGGACGCGCCTACGTCCTCATCCTTTGAAGAGGAGGCGGACTCCTCGTCCTCGCCTTCCTCGTCCACCGGCTCTCCGGATTTGTAGGGACTTAAACGCTCTATCTCCTCTTCAAACTCCTCGAGCACCTCGTAGTCAAGCGACCTCGTGGAGGGCTGGTCGTCGTAGGGGTAGTAGTCTTCGTTCAAGCTCTTCATAACTACTACTACGGGCCTAAGGAGACTAACTTAAGATCTAAGGGTTTTCAAACGCCTAACACTAGATCAACAACCTAGGAAGCAAAGTATGAAAAGTGAGGAAGATCGCGATGAACACTAACCTTGAACAACGAAGAACACGAAGAACAGGCTTGGGAGTTTATCTCTCTAGAAATACGTTTTCTCGTCGGAGGGGGAGGGGTATTTATAGAACCCCCCACCCAACGGTCACTACACGTGGCACCCCCCCAATGGCCACACCAACGGCCACCAATGGAGGACCACCACGTCACCAACGGGCCAAACTCAATATCAACAACCCACTGGCAACACGGACTCTACGGCCTACACACGCTCACCGGCTTTACAAATGCCAGCAAGCGCCCACAATGTCCCACTTGCTCACCAAGATCACAACGGCCAAACAATAAGGAGACGGCAACGGCCAGGAACGTAACGGCCACAAGATCAAAGGACCCAAGAGCCCAAAAGCCATCGGCTCCCCGTAATAACCCTTGATGATAACCCTCTACAAGCGATCTGCGCACAAGGGTTCTCCCACAGGGTTACCTTGGCCAGAAAATCGCCATGAGGGCTGGATTCAGGGGGACTACGGCGAGACCGCTTCGGCCGGGGACTCAAGCAACTCCTTCACCCCTCACACTCTTCGGCCTGAAGCAGTGGGGGATTGGGGGACTACACCGGCCTCACCAAAACGAAAGAAAATGCAAACAAGGTAACCAGAGCATGGCCACATCGACCACGCATCACACTGCACCTCGTCGACCAAAGGCACACAACGTCATCTGCGACGGCCAACGGGTCACCAAAGGCAAGGACACTCATCGTCCTCCGCCATCACGTAATCACGAGGGGCTCTTTGGCCAGAAACATGAAAGCTAATCAACGACGGCCAAAAGGAGTGTGCAAACACCCTCATCGGCCATCCAAAGGGAAAGACGCCACCGTCCTCGAAGCAAGGACCAACTTCAGTGGCCTCATCGGCCCAAACACAAACTTCAACCATCAGCGCCCAAGCAAAACATGCCTTCAACGGCCACCATTGAATGAAGGACACTCATCGTCCCAAAACGAAGACATCGGGTGAACAACGGCCTCCCTGTCCACAACAAGGAACAGGTAACGGCCAAGGGCGACAAAACACAGAAATCTACTCTCCTTCACTTCGTCTACGTCTCAGCTTAGAGAGTGGGGGACTCCTGATGGAGTATATGGGTCCAAGCCCCCGGACCCACATACTCGGAAGAGCAGAAAGCACAAGACAACAGAGTGGCGCCCTCGTCGGCCAAGACGCCCCGTCGGCCGAAAAGGGGCCAACTCGGATTATGGTCCTGAGTCCAAGGAACCCGGGCGCCCTCGTCGGCCGTGCCCTCGTCGGCCACGCCCTCGTCGGCCACGAAGACCTCACAGAACCGGATTTTATACTTACTCATTTGTACAGCCCATTAGTGGCTTTGTATTCGGCCCAGTAGCGGTCCAGTTGTAGATGGGCCTCCCAAGCACAAGGCTTGGGAGCCCAACCCTAATTTTCTCTATAAATACTCCCTTTGGGAGTAGTTATAGGGGTTACAAATCATTCTATTGAAGCATATTATTGCACTTCTCTCTCTAGCTCTCACTTCTCTCTAGATATACTCTATCACATTTATTCAAAGGTTGAGACTTTGAATTATTAATCCATACTTTAAAGGATATGTCAATTTCAATATTTTATAATCAGTTTGAGTTATATAATTATAATAAATAATACATTGCGTCCAGGATCCCTGGGAATATTTTCCCATTAAAAATGATATAATTTTCAGATAATGATTAAATTAGATAATTTGAGTATGATAGTTTATGGATGTAATACTCGTAATATATGACAACTAAATTATCATTTAAGCCTAATGCTTCAATACGAAGAAATATAGAATGTAAAAGATTCCATGAATCACTACAAAATCTTTAAATCCGCTTTAATATAATGTACTATAGTCTAACATCCTTAGTGCACTTGCTACATACTCTAAAAATAAAAAATAAAAAGTTTGGCTTCACCAATCACTAGAAAGAAATAATTGATTTGTCCAGCAATCAACAAAGAAAACTCAATCGAACAGAATTTGGCAGAATCATCGGGTTGACCAGCTATCTATTGAAAGAAGTCCTACTTGAGAATTGATGTTTTCTCGAGCAAGATAGTGATTTGGGAGGAGGACGAGTAGTTGAAAGCTCAAAAGAATTATGTCCAACAAGACTTGTCAACCATGGAAATTCATCGTTCTATCGGTTACACTGATAAAGAGTGCTCAACCTCAAAACATTACTAAACATTACTAAGAGGAGAACATATTTCACCAAAACGGACAAATCTCGAATTAAGGAAGTGTGCGATTGTTTCTACGTTTAATAAGTGATTTTCTTAAGTGATTTTGGGAAACGTGATTAATAGTAAAAGTTAGTAGTGTTTGAGAAAAAATGATTATGAAAAAGTAAAGGTTGGTAATGTTTGATAGAATAAGTGTTTTTTGTGTGATATAAAAAGTGAAAAGCAGTTAAAAGCAGCTCTTACCCTACCTACAGCTTTTAGCTTTTGAGTGATTAATTAATTTAAGCAAACACGGTCATTTTAAAACACTCATTTCAACCTTTTTTTAAACAAAAGCCGAAAATCCCTTATTTTGACTGTACTCTTTAGCACAAGCCCAGAACACTTTTGTTAACAGCTTCTTGATTTCAGCCATTCCGTTAAAAAACACTAAGAGCTTGTTTACTAACAGAGATATTTTCATGTTTTCTACTTCTGTTTTTCGTTCTCCAATTTTCTGTTTTTATTTTTCAGTTTTTCTATCTCCAGTTTTATGTTTCTATTTTCTAGTTTTCCATTTTCAAATATGAAAACATGTTTATCAAAATTTTCACCCAGTTTTGTGATCATCCAGAAGACTGACACGTTTACTTCATAGGTTACTAAACGGTGCTTATTAAGACTCGCGTTAATAAGCAACACATAAAATAAGCAATATTATAATATCATGTTTACTTCAAAAGGTTTAAAACACCGTTTAACATTAAGATGTCCAAAATAACCCTATACATATATAGACACACAAACATTCATGAACACAAATATATACTCCCTCCGTCCCAAAAACAACGTCACGCTTAGTTTTCCACACATATTAAGAAAATAAACTTACTGGAGGTAAAATTTACTGTTTTGACACTGTTTGAACACTGTTTAGCACTGTTTGGCACTGTCTGGCACTGTTTTGATGTAGATAATTTGCCATGTAAGGAAGTGGGAAGAAGTGTGAAGTTAATTTTGGGACATCCATTTAAGGAAAGTGGGAAGTTGTTTTTGGGACGGGGGAAGTAATATAATATATGGGATAGGATGACAGTAGGATGGGGCCGAGGTAGGGGAGTAGGGGTAGGATGGTGGTGGGGGTCAGTAGGGTGGGGTAGGATGACGGTAAGGTGGGGCCGAGGTAGGGGGCATGTGGGAAGGGGTAAGGGGTAATATACGAGGTGGGGGTAGGGTAGGGTGGGTCGGGTGGGGTTGAGGTGGTAGGGGGTGGCGGTAGGGTAGGGTGGATCGGGGTGGGACCGAGGTAGGGGCATGTGGTAGGGGGTGGGAGTAGGATCATGGTAGGGAAAAGGGGTATGCGGGGTGGGGGTTGGGGTGGGTAGGGTAGGGTAGGGGTAAGAGGTAATGTAAGAGGATGAAGGTACTAGAATGAAATCGGCATCTGAGCGGGACCAGACCCATCACTAGGTGTAAGTATGCAAACTCATTGCAGCGACCTGTAGCATCTGCGTTTTCTAAATTTGGAAAATTAGTAAAAGTCACTTCTCTAAATCATTAAGTAAAAGAGAGACATGTCTCATTTTTTTCATTTCGGAAAACGATTTGGTCAATACGTTTTTCTGTTTTTCTTTCTCTAATTTTCTAGCAATTTTCTTTGATAAACGTGTGTTCTGTTTTCTTTAGTAAAGAGGTCCTAACCATTCCAAAAGAATGGGTGTTTTCAAACACACTGTAAGTATCAGAGGTTTCAAACACACGGTTGCTTGGAATTTGCCTCGTGCACATTTCGTTTCATGTATTCAACGAAGGATGACTTATGACTTGTGAGGAGCAAAATTGCAGACTTGGTGAAGATGGATAACGAGAAGAATAGTTCGGAGTCTTTGAAAGAGCCGCCGTCTCCTGGGAGACCTCCTATCGAACTCCAGCAGTGTATAGAAGAGCTTCTGAGGTACACGATTGCTTCATCCGTCGCCGGCAATCTGGAAGCAGACATTGGCCTCTCCGATGACTTCTGCGCCAATCTATTGAACGAAGACTCTTCCAATTCCACAGGTCAAATCCGTTTTCTCTCGCCACTCGGAGCTTGATTTTCCTGATGACCTGATATATGTTGTAAGCCTGTTGTACACCGTGCCTTATTTGCTGTACGATCTTGGCATATCTCAGCTCCTCTGTACCAAACTCTAGCTGCCTCAATATATCGGTTGATATCATCTGAAAGTATATCAAGGTCAGATAGTGATGCTATGGTGATGAACAAAACGTGTTCTTTGAAACAGGAGGAAGAAGAGTTCGATTTTAAGTTGGTGAGAGAAAAAGGATGTGAGTTGCTCAATGTAAGCACGGCTATGATATGTTCGTTTTCTTTTCCTTTTTCGTATCTTGATTTCATTTGTATCCTGAAATCATATCAGCTTTTTCGTTTTCCTAATGCAGATGCTGGAAACCACGGACTTTGAACTTCATGTTCAGGAGCCCTTTTTCTCACATCTTAAAAGTATTTATGAAGCATCTGCTTTTTGATTCATAAATGTGCTCAAATGTTTCTTGAATTTGACTACTCTTTATTTGATGGCACCACTTGCTTGTATGTATTGTCTCACTGTTAAAAATTTGAAAGGTGGAGAGAAAACCATTGAAGGAAGGTGTGCTACCGATCACTACAAAAAGTAAGATTTTTGCCTCATCACTTGCATGCATAACTTGACCTGCCAGAGTTTGCATGCCAATTGCCAAATGTAAAGCTCTCCTACTTATTGGTGCATATTAGTATGTGAATGAAGAAAAGTAAAGGAAAAAGTTGTCTCATTTGTGACAAGTTGTGATCTTTTCACCCCCAATTATGAAGTCACACATAACCACGTTGTACCCAGCAATTGGTCATTTATGAGCTTCTCATCGTAATATGTTTTGTTGTTAAGAATTGAAGTTGGAGCGTCAATCCTTTTCAACAAATGTTTACTTCTTCAGGTTCAGGTGAAAATGCGAATCACAGCTTTTATTTCTGATCACAGAGATTATCATTATGCAAATGCAAGAATGGTAATTTGCAGAAGTAAATTGCAGGATCTTCATTATTATGCTTCATTTCGCGAGATGCTTGAAGCAGAGCCTCTCTACAAAGTACTTCCAGGAGTTGAAACCATAGAAGAAGGTAACAGAAATTTAATGTTTTCCAGGTGAAATGATCATGTTTTGATATCTTATGTTGCCATTTACAAGTAGTAATGTAGTTAGTCTTATGACAGGATTATAATGGTGTTCTAAAGATGTTGGTTTTCACTATTTTGCATTTATCCCCCAAAAATTATTTTCATTAGCCTATATTATACATTTTTCAGCTATCTACTCCCCCCCAACCCAAAAAAATCTAGTTACTGTCACTCACAGTCCCTTTTTCTGCAATGTCAAAAGGGCTGGAGAGTCGCTCTTATTAAATAGCACTCCCTCCTCCCAACTTAAGGTTCTCACTTTCCTTTTATGGACGTTCCAGCTAAAGGTTCTCATTTTTATTTTATGAAATAATTAGCACTCTTAAATGACAATTTAATCATTAAATATTAAAAAATAATATATATCTATAATATCGCAGTTATCATCAATGACCCCTTTATATAATATACCCATCAAAACTATTTCTCAAAATATACTCAAATTACTTTATTTTAATTATTTTCTAAATAACCGTGTCATTTTGCAATGGGACCTTAAGCCAGGACGGAGGTAGTACTTCATACTACTCCGTATTACATAGTCCTACTTTTACGTACTCCGTATATTCGTCATGTTGGGTTCCTTGTCATTTTCCCATTTTGTTCTGCTTTCTTTTAATCTTTCAGAGGATCGATGGCTTGTTTTTCACTCTTATTTCTATCCAACTGCAACCTTGTAAAACTTGTTAACCAGTACTCCATTCATTAAGTGGCAACTTATAATGTGTTATTTAGTTAATTTGTTCTACATGAGCTCTACAATGTTTGTGAGGACTTAAATCAAAGAGAGTGTTCGATCGGTGATTATATACTCAATACTTTACAACATGAAATTTTCAGGAATTCAAGTTTATAGAAATTTCTACTCAGAGGAGAAGGAAATGTCAAATGGTGTTCTTGCTATATGCATCAAGAAACCAATGTGGCAGCCTTATCTTGCAATGGCCTCAATAATATCAGTAATTATACCATATATTCAACTGCTGTTAAAAACATAGTAATAAACTGCCTTTCTGGCAAGCACAGGTGAACTTCACATGGCGTTCATGATAACTTTTAATTTCACAGATTCACTTGTTGGATGCATTCAGTGATGTGTGTGTATTTGTAAAGAGAAACGTTATATATAAAACCAATTTGTACAACACACTGTAAAACAAGTTTCTTTGTTCAACAGACAGGATTTATGTCAACAAGGTCAAGAGATACTCTTGTCATTGTGATTTTATGTTGCGAGACAGTGAGAGCAAAAAAAATTGTTGGTAATGGGTTTTGGTATTTTCTTCTTCTTTCTAGACATAAAATCAAACTCATTTTTTCTCTATGGACAAAAGTCCTGTACCATGGAATTGTAAATGCTTTAGAATGTTTTTTCTTTAGCTCAAGTATACTGTATATATTAGCTCATGGCAATATGGTCTTACCACAACTTTGAAATTTCATTCAGGATTTAAGCCTCGGAGGCCTTCAGAGCCTACTAGATGTTGCACATAGGTCGGAACAATGCTGATGAATTTAGCCCTGACGTCATTCTAAAACGGCTAATCATATCATATTTGTTGCAGTGTTGCCTCATAAACATCCTTTCTGTGTTTGCTTGTTGGATAGACTAGGCTAATTCCTATGTATTTTATGTATAAAAACTACAATATGGGCAAAGCCTCCTAACGTATCGTCTGGTCGGGTTTGGGGGCCCTCAGGGATGGAGTGTCATCCTTTTTTTACAATATGGGCAAAGCCTACTGTACTGGACTGAGTTTTCAGTAATACTCCGTACATTGTTTGTAGCAATTTTTATTTATATTTCAGAAATAAATTAGAAGAGGACAATGTGAGAGAGGACTAGGCCGAAACCTAGGCATCCCTTTCAGAAATACAAAGTTAAAGCACCTTGAAGCGTAAATGAAAAAATAAACTCAATTACGGGATTAAGTAAGCACAACCTATAGAATCCAAATAAACCGCTCTCTTGATCTTTCTCCCAGAGGGTTGTGAAACTGTTGCATGTATGTAATATGTATATGTAGTGGTGGACTCGGTTCGGGGCGGGCCCGGTTCGGGCCTAGAACCGGCCGGGCCTCAGTTCTAGGAAGGCAGGCCCGGAACCGGCCCGGATAACCCCGGGTCCGGTTCGGTTCGGGTCACCCGCCCGGTACACGGGCCGGGCCGGGCCTATTTATTTTTTTTAAATATTATATAATTAGAATAATTCTTATTACAATTACAATATATTATATTCGAATTGAAGTATATTTATTTCAAATAAGAAGTACAATTGAGAATTAGGATGAATTTAAAAAATGTAATACATTTTGTAATAAAAAATCAATCGGACTCTCCGTCTTCGGTTGTTTCCTCCATAAAGTGGCGGGAGGGAGTGATGGTAATTTCTTGAGTTCTTCGTTGGGCCTTCAACTAATCGTGAAAGCAAACTAGTGTCTCAAGAGAGCTCGGGCTCAACCTCGTTCTCTAATCGGTTAGGACGTTGCCGGCCGCACTGAATTCTTGTTCCACGGCAACGGTTGATATCGGCATTGCTAGTACTTGCTTAGCCATCTTTGATAAAATCGGGAATGTTCTTTCATTTTCCTTCCATCACTTAAGAACGTCAAAGTCATCACCAATTTCATAATCAACATTCAATGTTAGATACAAAGAAAGCTCGTTACCTGAGCTTTGTTCAGTAGCGGGAGTTGCTCTACTTTTTTTCAAAAGAGAACCAAAAGCGGATTTTAAAAGTGATTTTCCTTTAGATGAAGAAGATGTTCGTTGCATGGGAGGGGGTGCATTACCATATTGTGCATGAAATTCATTATACAATTGATGAAATAAATTACTAACCTCGTTGAATTCTTGTTTAGGGTCGATGAGATTATCATCGAACTCTTGAGTTGGAAAAAAAGAAGCATAAATTATATATATGTAGAAAGAATTTGGAGAAGATGAAGAATGAAGATGATTGAATATGAGAGATTGAGAGAATAGAGAATTTAGAGAGTAGGAAGAGTTGTAGAAGAAGAGGTGTAAAAAATGTATAGAAAATAGGAGTATAAATAGTTTTTTTTTTGTATACCCCACCCCCACCCCCCTAACCCCCCAGACCCCCCCCCCCTCCTATGCTCCCAACGGCTATAGAGCCGTTTGGGAGGTCTCCCAACGGCTAGTAGAGCCTTCAAATATTTAAATTTTTTTTTTGTGACCGTTGAGGCCCGGGCCGGTTCACCAAAATATCAGCCCGGGCCCGAACCGCTACATGACCGGGCCGGGTGGCCCGAACCGTGACCTAACCGACAAACCGGGCCGGTGCGGGCCCGCACAGTAGCGGGCCGGTCCGGTTCCGGGCCGGTTGGCCCGGCCCGAGTCCACTCCTATGTATATGATAATATGAATGTCACCTTGAGCTAATCCGATTGCAGTCAGGTTGGATTCTTTTAACGCCATTTATATTTCACATTATTGGTAAAATGCAAGCATAACTCTACAATTATTTTTAGGGAAAGTTCTTGAAATAGGACTAAAACAGTTTGAAATTTCAAAATAGGACTGCCATGTTTTTTATTCCCAAAATAGGAGTAAATACTGCCAAGTTTAGAAAATATTGACATGTTCGAAGTTTGATACTGCTAAAACATGATAGTAATTAGTCCTATTTTGAGAATAAAAATATGGGGTAATATTCTCTTATTTTTACTTAAGCAAGGCTTCCAGATTCCAGTGGGGTGACCTTTGCTCTTTTTATCGCACTTATGAGTCTTACAGAATGGGATTCTACTTCCAATTTTGTAATTACCGGTCTCATACTCCATGCAAGTAACATGTAAAGGGATTTGAGCTCCGCTTCAAACTCGGTAGCTGCTATGAAAGATCCAACATGATTCCTTGCAATAAACATAGTTGACAATCCTCGTTTATATTTTGAAAGAAAGACAAAAATATGTTACTCATAAGGTTTGAATGGATAAAAATATGACCATTTTAGAAATTTACAAAAAAGTGAGTAATCCCAGACCCACTTGCTTCGTTCCTTCTTCCGCTGGATCTATTCTCCTTCTCCATCGTTCCTCCATCGCGTCGTCTCCTTCGTTGCCAGACTGTGTCGTCCACTTCAAACGCCCCTCTCTATCGTTGATAGCTCTCTGTCTCCATATGGTCTCCGTCTCCATTGCTGATTGGTCTCCGTCGTTTCTGCCTCCGTCGAAGTCGCCTCTTCCTCCTTCATTCGGCTTAATCGCGAGCTTCATTGTTACTTGTGTGGCCAACGGACGAAGATTGGATTTCATTGGCGACTGACGAAGCTTAGATTTGGAGACTAACGAAGTGCGATTCCTTTCCCCTTCGTGTATTTCATCCCTTTGTGACTGCGAATCAATTGCCTAGGGTTCGTAGGGCGACGACTATGGGGGCAGTGACGCTACAAGATTGGGGAGATGCAACAGCAGTATGGGAGATGGGGGCATCTATGGTGCAGGGATGGGGTATTGGCTGGCACTTGGAGCTGGGGGTAGACTAACAGGGCAAGGGGGCAGGGTAGGGTGGTGTCAGAAATTTGGGGTTCGTTGGACACTGCCCGGCGGTTGCCGTAGTGGTTAGGGCTGAGCACAACCCGAACCGACCCGCAAAACCCGAAGTTTTTTGCGGATAATATCCGATTGGATATGGATATTCGATCCGAAAACCCGAAACCCGAAAATCCGATTAGTATTGGGCCTAGACCGTGTGTCGGGTAGGTTTTGTAAAATCCCAACCCGACCCGCCCGAATATCCGAAATATATTAAATTATGTAGTGTGTACTTTGAATATGTTCAATTAATACGTGTGTTCAATTATTTGTGTAATTATTTGTGCAATTTATGTTAAATTAATTGTGTAATTTGAATGTGTATTGCACTAGTGTGTACAATCTTTGTCAAAGTGGCATTCCAACACTTTAATTATCCAATTATATTGTGATTTAATATAAACAAAATATCCAAAATATATTAAATTATGTACTGTGTAATTTGAATATGTTAAATTAATACTTGTGTCCAATTATGTGTGTAATTTAAATGTATAATGACTAGTGTGTATAATTTTTGTCAAAGTGACATTTCAACACTTTAATTATCCAATTATAATGTGTTTTAATCAATGTTCTAAAAGGTGCTAGGCGCTAGTCAGACGCCAGCCCAGCACCTAGCGCCTAGGCGGTTAGGCGGGCACTTAGACGGGAACTAGTCGGAGACATAAAAATTGCATTCTTATCAATATTTTTGCGTAAATATGATAAACAATATTGTATTTTCGTGTGTATTATATATATATATATATATAGACACACACATACATTAACAAACATAAATGATAGAATTGTCACATTTAATCATACGTAATGCTAGTATGTGATAGCTAATCACTTATTTTCATTGTGTTATAAATATAAATAATAATAAAATTTAGGTATATATACAAACCTATATAGTTTTTATCTTAATTTTCAACTTCATTTTTTTATATCCGTGGCTAAAGTTAAGTACTTATATCTTTTAAAAAATTAAAAAGTAAAGTAATGTTCGGCAAATCTAAATGGCCTAGGCGGCCGATTAGGCATTCTAGGCAGGCAACTAGACGAGTAGACGCCATAAGCAGCCAACTAATTCACCTAGACGGCAAACCAATTAGTCGGAGCGCCTAAACAAAAATCGGGATGTCCGGCCACCGCCTAGCGCCTAGGTGGGGACTAGTCGGGCGCCTAGAACGATTTTTAGAACAATGGTTTTAATATAACCGAAATATCTGAAACCCGATCTGATATTAGATAATATCCGACTTAAAAATATCCGAAATATCTGATTTAAAATATCAAAGGGTCGGGCCTAGTATTTAAATTAAAAAAAAAACCCGAACGGGTTAAGGGTCCACACACCCGACCCCCCCGAACCCGACCCGTGCTCAGCCCTAGTAGTGGTGAAGGCGGGTGGTGATCGCTGGTGACGACCGACAATGAGCGGGTCATAGCTACGGTGGCAGGGGCATGGGGGATTGGCCGGGAAGGGTAAGGGCAGTAGGCAGTGTCACTCATCGCGGTGTCACGGTGTCACTCATCGCGGTGTCGCGGTGTCACTCGTCGCGGTGTCACTATAGCCGGTGGCGGTTTTCAGGCAGTGGCGATCACCAGTGCGAAGAAGTTGTGGATAACAATGTGTATTTGTCACTGTAGCGTGTCAGTGTGGTTTGCGGCGACATCGCTGTGGCGGCGTCACTATGACGATGTCACTGTGGCGGTGGTGGTGGCGGTGTAATTGGCGTGAAAATTTTGGCTTTGATAACTCTCGATGACAAGGAAAATGAACACGGTGACATAAATTTTTTGCAGTGACATCATGTTTTCTAATCCCAAATATGTGGCTTTGTTAATCACCTTTTTGTCAACTTTTAAAAGTACTCACATTTTTGGAAATTCAGTCCAATATAGTAATATTAAGGGAATAACCCCTTATATTTTACCATGGCAATATTCGCAAATACTTGAATAATTATTTTTACGTTAATGGGAACTAATTATGGGATTAACTCAACAATTGTGAAATTTATTAATTATGTATTAATTAGTTCATATGTACATTTTATACGTTTATGACTAAGTCTATGTAAGGGAGGATGATAAGGTTAGTTAGTTGAGTTGTCCCTAGTTTTTAATATTAAATCCAAAACCGTCAGACAACGGTCAAAACGTTCGGGGAGAAAGAAGATAAGGTCTGATGACTCGGAAAAGGCATGGAGAGTAAAGACAGATTAAACTGTCCAATTGTTGTCGAATTTCACGAAGGAGTTTTCAGATTCGTCATAA